TGGGAGAAAACCTTGGATACCATAAAAGGTCTAGACAAAAGCACTGACCTTACATCTAGTTCACTGTGTGGCCAAACAAGAGAAAGACAGCACATCAGCAACATGGAAAATATATTCACACTTCTTATTCCTGCTTAGCCTTTATAATCTTTCTTTGTTCACACAAATCAATTGTGGTATGAAAGTTAGTTCTTGCTATGTGTGGACTATGCATGTGAGTATAATATAAAAAAATAATTTAAAAAAACAAATCACGTGACAGTGACAATCTGGCAGCAAGGAAACCAGAAAAAATATGTTTTAAAATGGAAGAAAAATGTAACATCCAATAAATACATGAAACTGAAAATAACGATTAACTGTAAAATAAGGATTTTTTTTTTTAGCTGATTTCACTACAGTAATAAAATGTCATTTTATGGTCACACACAGTAAAAGAACGAATAACTATTTCTTTAAAAAATAGATAGATTTTTCATGTTGACATCATGTACAGCTTTTCATGCCATACTGATGTTTCAGTCAATATGCAAATTAACATTTTGTTCTGTAATTTTACTAGAAAATATCTTACATTTTATAAATCCTTCATATACAACATTTTTCTTTTAAATAATTTTAAACACCTGTAAAAGAATTCTTCTTTTTTTTCTAATTTAAACAGTAAATTAGTGTAATCCTATGGTCAAAAATTATAAAAGAATCAACTGCCATTTATGAAATTACAGATTTTCAATGTGGACATGATTTACAGATTAAAGATTAACACGTCGTAATGTGCACTTTAATGAAACAGGGAAAATCTGTAAAATAACTGATTTTTTTTTTTTTTACAAATGACAGTTAAAAGGGATCATTTTTTACATTGTAGGACCCTGTCTGCCTTTCAAACATCAGTCTGTTGTGTGTATACTTTGAGAGTGATGGCAAGTCGTTTCTGCTGGTTAGAGCGTGATGCTACTACACTCTCTGTGCAGTGTCTCCTCAACATTAATTGGAGAGCTTTCTCACCCCCTCCCCCCTTTTCACAGCATCAGGCATGCTGTTGAGCTGAAGGGTGTTAGTGCCTCGGATATTCAGACAGGGCTTAGTGGAGGGAGGGAACTGTTATCATTGTTCCACATATAATTGCACACCAGATATGGCATTTTATTGGTTGATGTCTTATAAATTGCACGTTTGTTTTGATTTTGATGTGAATTATGCAGCTAATTTCCTTAAATTAAAATAAATTTTCATGTGTAATAAGTAGCATTTGGTCTCATTTATATGTATATGGATTTATGATGCAGATGTGGTGTTTAATCATGAGTGCTTGAATGGGAGGAAGCCAAACAAGATTTTGCATAAGTCCTCCAAAAAAAGGTTAAAACAGTCCTGATATCAAGACGAGATTCTGATACACAGAAGAAGAATACTGCTGTGCACAGATCACAGTTACTCTGAGGCTGAACTGACTTTCTTTCCATAAAACTATAATTTGAGGGATACAAATAACTTAGAGGTCTACCTCGACAACACACTGGAAGGACAATGCTGCGTTGCCTAGGCAACTAGGGGCCAAGGCAGTCTGTATTTTTTGAGGATGCTTAGGTCCTTTAATATGTGCACCAAGACACTGTAAATCTTTTTTTACCACTCTTGTTGTTGCGAGTGCAATATTGTTGAAATCTGGCGGGCATAAACATCAGAGCTGGTGATGCAAACAAACTGAATACGCTGATCACAAACACAGGGTCTGTGCTGGACCTACTTTGGAGCTGTCAACAGTTTGGAGAGGAAGATGCTGCTCAAACTGATGTCTATCGAGGAAAAAATGTCTTGCTTCTTCTCCAAGATCTAGAAGAAAAGCAACAGAAATCTTCCAGTAATGGACTGTAATGGGCATCTGCTTGATTTTGTTTAGGGATTTGCAAAACCTCTTAAATAGGCCCTTCATCTGCAATTAGAAAACGACAGCTCTTTCGCTCTAGTTGATGCCTTAAAAGGCCTAACAATCAAAATTCTGCTATTTTGCTAATTTTGCAACGTACCAATGTCAAAAATGTAACGTCCGTCTTGCCCACGCTGACAAGGAAAGGCCTAAAGGTTAGCATTAGTATTATTCACACTTTTGAAAACATGATTTGATGGCAATCTGCTAATTAGATATTAAGATATGAGTAGAAATAATATCTACATTTTATAGGAAAGTGGTCAGCCCATGTCCCAGCAGCCTTGATCATACTGTCGGATGGACAGGCTGAAACATCAGTGGACTAAAAGGTTGGCATTTTACACAAAGCAAGAATTGTGGGTTTTGTCCTCCTTCATTTATACTGGAAGTGCTTTAAGAAGAGTTCTCATAGCTTCGTTGTTCCATCTCAAATCATCAGGAGTCTTGTGCTCGACCACGCCTGGTTCTTCTGAAACTTTTTTTTAATCATAAACTGGATATTTAAAATAGCACATGTGAAGTTTTAAATTAAAATATCTAGTACTTTCTGAGATAGATGGATTTAACAGTTTAGGTTTTTTTTACATATTAAAATGTGAGGCTTTGCTTGATTTAAAATATTTCAGGAACTATTAAGGATACAAACAGTGCCTCCAATTGTAATGTGCAAAACAAAATGTGCTGAAAGTGGTTTGATGGGCAATTAAAAAATTTAAAAAAAAAAAAAACAGAAAATATTTGGTAAAGCAGTCTAAAATTTTACAAATATCTTTAGAAATATCCATATTTTATGCTATAAAATTTCAGGCAAATCAGAGACGGTCAGACAGCAATAGTATTAAAACTTTAATGATTTCAGATGGAATGACCCAGTAGCCTGTATGGTCAGGAGGAACAATTGCATTTCATGAATAAATAAATGCAATACATAATACATAAATACATACATGATTTTCGTATAAAATACATTATTTTCTCTCCACTAGCAACTACTGCTGTTTGGTCGCAGCACCTAAAGGACAGAGATAGGATGTAAGTGTTTATGTGAATGTATCAGTGCTTGGAAAAAAAATAATGTGGTAAAGAAGAGTATGTGTCATTTTACTTGTCTAGTCTCAGAGCTTTTATGTTTTTGTGGTTTAAAAGCAGTCTTGTCTGAAATAAGCATCATTTGGGGGGCCAGTTTCTTACTGACCCATAACACTCTAAGCTTCCAACTGGATCTGCAGCCGCCCTGATGAGCTTAGCATTAATTCAAATTGAGTTTTGGGTACTCCTGTGATGTTGAAGCTTAACAGAGACCTGGAGCTGAGCCAGCAGGATGTACCCTACTGAGGTGGTTTGTCACAAGCTTTCTGTCACTTCATCTATGTTTCTGTCAGAGATTTTTGTCAGGGGTGGTCTGTGAAGGTTGGATCAAGGATGATAAATGAGTGTGGCTGTCAGTTACTGTAGGTAGGTGTAGGTTCTGTGGCTTGGTGTGACAAAAGGCGCAACAAAATGTGGAGGCCTTTTAACAAGTTCAACAAGTGAACATTTTCCAGTCCATTACAGTTCGCTGCTTTTATATTACGTAGTTTTTATATTTTGTAGCTGTGTTGTATACAAAGACTTCAATAGAGGAGCGAAGCACATCATCATCATCATCAGACATGAGCCTCATTCAGTCTTTTGAAGTCCGGTTACTGCTGCACATGAAGAGTGACGCTGTTAAACTGTTAAAAAATAAATAACAGAGAGGCTGTTACAGATGACTCCCTGTCTGGTAGTGACATGTTGTTTGTCATGATCTCACAGCAGGTCTTTGGCCCTGGGGACACGTCATCACTCCCACCGATGTGAGGTTTTTTTAATTAGGTTAGCACTGAGCCCAGCGAGACCCACTTTGGTCTAAAAGAGGTATCCACACGTGTGTTTCTTAGGAAGCTCACAATACCCATTGTGAGTTTCAGCCATTGGCTATTCCAACTGTGTCGAACTGTGTGGTGGTGTTTTCATATACTGTGTGTATTTTCTTTTGCAAAGTGTCCTCTGAAGAAAAAATTTAAAGCAGAACAATTCACTGCTGACTAACTTCACTCCTCTTAAGTTGCCTCATGCACCGTCTTACACACTGTCCCTCGATCTCTCTCAGGGAGAATTGTCTTCTAAGTGATTAGTTTTATGCTCTGTTTTGCAGGCACACTGCCCAAGCAGCTCCTCAAATTGAACAAACAGTCAGACACCTAAGCACACACACACATATACACCCAGGACCACACACACACACATACACACACAAAATCTTGCCTCAGGGGAAATAAACCTCAGCCACACCGTTGCAGCATTAATGGCAAAATCCCATTGAAACTCAGGATTCAAACAGAAAGGGCGAGTGAACTCTTGCCCAGTGTAGAGTCTGGAAGATGAATTTTGCACGTCTCTAAGGAGTCAACCAACAACCAGTACATCAGTGAAAGTGACAAAGAAGCACCTTGATATCATAAAAAGATAGAACAGCGACCTTGCGTGTGATTAGTGAACACTGGTTTACACGTGATCCTGTTAAAAACACCTTTTAAAGCGCTTTAATAATATTTTTTGTTGTTTAAAGGTCATTAAATAGAAAGCACAAGAAGTCATGACAGTAATAAAAGATCTTGTCCAGCAAAGTCTTAAATGAACAAAACTCCGAAAGATAATGAACTGCCCATACATAATTAATAACTCGAACCAAATGAGAATATACTATTCATCTTGGTTGTATGTTTTATTAATGCTCCTCTGCATCTGTCATATCACTGCTATCTATGTCGTTAAGTGCTACATTATTCACTGCAGTAAATGGAATGAATAGATTTAAAACATTAGCAGGAACTTGAGCCCCGAGATAGTTCCTTCACTGGTTTCACGGCCGAGTGTGCGTGTTGTACGTACATGCAATGTACCGTTGTTAAGTTGCCCTCTCAAGTTATGAACTGTTGCATGTCAGCTGCTTCTATTCATAACAAGATGTCACTGACTCTTGGAACCTCGTGAACTACTGTCCAACAACAACTGTATCTGCTTGTTCTCCCTCCTCCAGGAACACTTTACACCAGAGTGCAAATTCAAGGAGTCGGTGTTCGAGAACTATTATGTGACATACTCCTCCATGATATACCGGCAGCAGCAGTCGGGCAGGGGCTGGTACCTCGGTCTGAACAAGGAAGGAGAAATCATGAAGGGGAATCATGTCAAGAAGAACAAGCCAGCAGCCCACTTCCTACCCAAACCTCTAAAAGGTAAGTCTGTCTGGATCCACATTCACATTTTACTGTTCAATATTCAAATCATGTTCAATCAGAACTGGTTTGTGCAATGTGTTGTCCAGCCCTGTGTTCATAGCTGCTCTGAATGGCAACTCAAAGGTGTGAAAAGTCATACAGAAGGGGGAGATGTAATGTTTAAAAATGGGAACACTGCATTCATGCACTCGAAAAGATACGTTTTGTGAAGAATGAAAAGAAAAGAGGTAAAGAGAGATAAGTTTATGAGCCACATCTGATTTTGAAAAGGTGTCTGTGTGCTGGTGGGGTTCCAAAATCCTTCAGCGATTTGTCATGCGGTTATAACACAGCATATTGGCTGCTCAAACAATGCAATGCTTAGCATCAGGGATAAAGTTGCTGTAATTACATAATCTGTTAAGAAACTTCTCTTTGACTATTCAGGCGTTTGGCTATTCTAGCTGGCAAGGGAATTGTTTTTCACAGTAGGAGACCTGAGAACAACTAGTTTTTCTCCGATTAAATTTCCTCATTTTCTTTTTCATCCTCTTAACACTTGAGGTCCGCATGGAGATTCTTTAGCTAAAGACTAAATTAGCTGCTTTCTACACGACTCTCCGCCGTTTAGCATTCTCCTGAGAGATGCCGACATGTGCCTATTCGGTAGTTCGCTCTAGCTGGTCGCACTCGGCTGCAGACGAAGCGCAGAACAAGGTTGAGCCATTGTGTGCAAGCAGACCCACGTTTAAATGCTTTGAATGGCAGCAGACAGGACTTCATTTTCATTAAAGTCACAGAAAACCACACCCATCCAGACGCTGTGTGTGGCAGTGTGGCTTTGGAGAACAGAGGAAACAGGGAGGAGAGAGGGGAGAAATGGTTCTGTTCTCTCTGTTGAAAAGGCCACAGTCCTTTCATCTTCAACAAGACACAGATTCACCTGTCAACAGAGAGGAGACAGTGAGAGAGTCTGTTTTTTTTTATTCAGGGAAGAAAAAAAAAGAAGAGCACTCTGGGTCTGTTTTTTCTTTTTTTTTCTTTTTGTCTCGGTAAGATATGAAAGGCTTGCACATCCAAATACTCAAACAATACAGAAAACAGGGCAGTTTCTTTAGATTGTTGGTTGTTGAGTACAGTTTGGATTTGTGATCTGTACATGCACTTACTTTTTCAGTAAAATAAGTAACTATCCATTGTTAAAGTGGGTAGTTTAGTCAATATACTGACACTGACACTAACTGGCTCATCTACGAGGCTTGCCTGTATAATCTAGGGCAATCTAAGTCAACAGGTCTGTACTGGAGTGGATTACATTTAAAGATAATTCCAACATTTTGAGGACGTATGTATGGAAGCTAATACATAACATTAGAAACAGCTTTAAACGCAATGCAGTCCATTACAATGACAAAATGGAACAGCGGACAAACACTGAATTAACTCTCTATGACTTAAATGAACACCAAATTGTTTCATAATATTATCAGTACAGTAAAGGCCTAATTAAAGTTTACATGCTAAGTTGTGGACACCCCATTTCACTATTCTAATTTCAACTAAATCAAAAAAGAAATCTTAATTTTGATTCTGCTCATGGGTTCTTCAACAGATTTCACTAACTCGTTCCAAATAACCAAACAGCACAGCGATGTAGCACAGACTTTTTGTGTTGTCTGGGACAGAGTTACAACAAACACCTTCTGAATAGCGGGCTATTCTCAGTACACCTACTCAAGCTGAGTTGCTCCATTAGCAGGTGAACAGCACAAATTGTGTTACGGTCTTCTAACAATCATCGTACTTTAGCAAATGCTATTCTACAAAATGCTCGGCACTGGCTTCCTGTCGCTCAGAGAATTGACCTTAAAACAGCGTTGCTTTTGTACAAGTCTCTTCATGGTCTAGCACCAAAGTACATCTCTGACATGTTAGTGCCATATGAACCATCTCGGGCTCTGAGAACCTCAGGTAGTGGTTTCCTGCTGGTGCTCAGAGTCAGGACTAAACACAGTGAGGCTGCATTCCAGTTGTATGCAGGTAAATTCTGGAACTGTCTTTCAGAAGATGTGAGACAGGCTTCAACTCTGACAATGTTCAAATCCAGGCTGAAAACAGTTCTATTTAGTTGTGCATATGACAGCTGAAAGTATTTTATCTGTACTCTTGTAATTAATGATTCTATTTATGTTTTTATGGATTGATTTTATCTGCTTCTTTGCTTTTAATGTAATTAATTAATGATTGTGTTTTATGTTTTGTGGATTGACTTTATCCGATGTCTTATAGTTTTGTGTGAAGTACTTTGAATTACCTTGGGGACAAATTGTGCGATACAAATAAACCTGCCTTGCCTTGCCTTGCCTTTACCGTGACAGGATTGGACTCGTCCATCGTTAAAACAGAGTTGTTAAAGTAAACCTCAAAATATTCAAGAAATCAGAAAAGAAACCACTGTCGTTATGGTTATGATGACTTTATCTAGTTCTATGTTTCTGCTTGTACTTTTAACACAGTTCTTCTGTTGAAGCGTAGCACCATTACCAGAACAGCGATTTTTTTATTTCTCTTCTGTGACAACAAACACAAAATTTTTCTGCAACTATTCAGCTTATCGAGGCGCGTTACAGCAGACTAAATTAACTTTATGACACTTTATAGCAACACATTATCTGTGACTGTGGCAACGTGCTGATATTTTTCTGTCACACACTGGGAGAGAATCACTTCACACAACACACCCACTAATCTTCGTCACCACATTTCTTAAAGTGCAGTTAAGACTGTGGCTGTGCTAACTTCACTAGCTAGAAACACAGTAAATATGTTAATTCATGTAACTGCTGTTTGTTTACCTTGATTGGCAGGGGTGGTTGAGGAAGTGTTTTACCTAAGTAAAAGTATCACTACCACACTGTAACAGTCCTGCATTGAAAAAGTTATAAAAGGTATCTAAGTGTAATCATATTACAGTATGATATATCATTAGATTCAAATTTTTAATGCAGGTAAAAAGAGGATTTTACTGTTGCAGTAACAATAAGCTCCATGAAAATTGGAATTGAGAATCAGTAAGAACCAGAATTAATAAGCAGAATTCTTAATATACAACCATAGCAATGCTCCTTTACAGAGAAGGTCAATAAAAATCACTCTTTTGTTGCCACAGAACTTAAATTAAAGGATAAACTATTTCTGTCCAGATTTATCACTGTCACACCGAACACAATAAACGATGTGTTATATGCTTGTGTTTGACTATCTTAGTATTATATGAGGGATTTCATTCAGTAATCCAGAAGTAATTGCAGTGTTGAATATTTGAGTTTTTAGAGTCAAGTTTCTCATTTCTTCTATTTGCTGCCTCTTCTTGCGTCTTTGGTGGAGCTTCTCTAGCCAGCATCTTATTAAGAATCCATATCTGCCCTCTGAGATCGCTATAATAGCTTTTCACTTTCATTTAACGGGGCATCCAGGGGGTCTCAAACACACTTAAGAGCAATACCCAAAGAATGATTGCCTTGCTTTATGCTGAGAGAGAAATACTGAGAAAGTGAAGAAGCTGAATAACAAGAATAGATATAGGCTGGGTGAGACGGTAATTCTAACAGATACCAAACACCATTGCCCTTAGCTGCCTTTTGTGCATTTTATCTAAAAGCAGAAAAATAGCGTCGCTGAAGTCCAACAACAAATCCAAAATGAGAAAAACAAATTTAATACATACTTTTGCTGTAATACCCCATCTTTTGGACAAACTTCAAATGATCCAGTAACGCACAATATTTACTAAATCTTTTGCATAATTTAAATTTCAGATGTAGGTAGCGGCTCGGAAAGAGCTCCGCGCAGTAAGGAGAGAGAAAGAGAAATAAAGGAGAATTTGTTCCAGCAGCTCATAAAAATTCAGAGGCAGTGGTGTTACAGGGCACCAATTAAGAAGCTGTCTCTGCATTGGTGATGGCATCTCCTCCAGGCATTACTCACTACTCTGCTGGTTCCAGTCTGAGAGGCTCAGCCCACAGCCTCTCATTCTGTCTTCCTCTGGATGAAGCAAGTTCAGCTCACGTCATTCAAACCCAAACAGGAAAATCCTCTTAAAATTCTTCCAGAAAGCCCCGATACAAGAGACAATGCCTTTATCTGGAGAGTGTGTAGTCTGTCAAGTGGCGTCTCTCGCTGAAAACAAGGGGAGGTTTGTGTGGAGAAAAAATTACAAGATGGTTAGTTGTTACTGGAGATTAATGCTTAAAAACCAACAGCAGCAATGGTGTTGAGGCGATATTATAATTCTGAGGTCTGCCATTATAATCATACAGTACTGTGACTAACAAGACCGACACCAATAATCAGCAGTTTTCCAGCAAAATCCTGCCAATGATTGATGTGTGTACACAGAGATGGTCTCTGGATTGCTGCTGTAACAAAAAAATGCTGGGCTAAGTGAAGTGTCTGAAGGCCTGGGTTTGCTGTTTCAGCCACAGACTCCCTCAGGAATGAACATCAAATAGCATTCTAGGCAGAAGGATGTTGACAACATCCTGAAACCAAAGACTGTGAACCTCAGATTACTGATATTTCTTCTGAAAAGGAGGCTGCTGAGATGCAGATTGGGCCAATGCTGCATACACAGCAAAGCTGAAGCACTAGCAACTCTTGAATTTATAATGCTATGCTGTGAATATGGGATTTTTTTTTTTTTTTTTACTTCAGCACCAAGCTAGTCTATTGGGATCTCTAGATTCAGCAGTTTGCAGGAGACTATACAGTGGCTGGAAAAAGTAATTGAACCGTCAGGTAGTCTTCCATGAGGTTCAAAAGGTTAGTTCACAAAATGTTGTAAAGAAAAAAAAAAATGTATTTAAGCCACAGAAACACATATGAAGCTCTAACCAACTGTTTTCTACTAAAACGAATCAATAAATCATGTGATAACATGAGCATACCAGTAAATGGAATAGAAACAGCTGAACACAATCTAATTGTCAAACTAATGAAACATGTCAACAGCTCCCACTAAATTATTTAAACTTTGGTAATTTTAAGCCATAAAATTGTGAGTTATGGGCACTTAGGTTCAACAATTACTAAATTACTAAGTTTTAAATTTGTATAGCTGATATAAGATCATTTTGGTTGGGAAAAAACTAAACTAAACTAAACTAAAAGACATTAAAATGAAACCACTGCTTAGTCATGTGGGAAATGTTAGACAGATAGATTTGCTTTTGTTCTTTTACATATTCTCAGTTCAAAAACTTATTTTGGTATGAAAAACTTATAGCTGCAGCTGTTGAAGCTGTTTTTTTTTTTGTTTTTTTTAATTTATAATTAGTACAAACACAACAGAATAGGCTGTTTCCAGTTACTTTGTTCAAAAGCATATACGTGACACTGAATTCAACATTTGCTAATATGTTCATTTGGTTTCTTTAGAAACTATAAAAGTTGTTGTGTTGAGAGAACTCTCAGGTCTCTCCTTTCAACTCAGCTTTTGAAGACAAAAAACCTCAACTTAGACTAAATATTGTGATTTTATGAGTTCTAAAGAGGTGGCAAAAAATGGCAAAGGCAAGTGAAGTGAGCTCAGCAAAAAGATATTCAGCAGGTCTGAGTACAGAAGTCCATCCTGAAGCTCAAAGAAATACGACAGCCAGGATAAAAGTTGCAAAAGAACATATGCAGAAAGACATTCCAAATTCAACTTAAATGGACGTGACAGTAGAAAATATGCGTGGAGAAAGCCAGGAGAAAGCTGGGAAATGGGAACGTCAAAGTCTGGAGCCGTTTCTGTCTTTGAGAACTAGCATGTACTGATGGAACCACAAACTCTGAAGTGCACAGAGGAATTTTGGATGCAAATTTGAAGAAATCAGTCAAGAAATGATTCAAGCTCCAGAAAAGGATCTTTTAGAAGGATTGCAATCCAAAGCAGACCAGCCTGTAGTTCAAGGAATGTTTTACCCAAGAGAAAAGTCTTGAATGGTCCTCCCAGAGACCTGACCTGAATCGAACAGACCACCAGAGAGAAAATGTCATCTCATTGATGCTGTAGCGCGGATAAACAGAAAGTTTTGCTGGCTGACAAATGGAAAAAGTTTTTATTACAGTTATTATAGAAACTGTTTTTTTTACATGCAAAGACATTGTCAAGCAGCTACAACCTACAACATAAAGTCTAATGTTACCATTACGGGATCCATTCAAACCACCAGAAGAGTTCCACAAAAGTTTTTCTTTTTTTTCTTCTATTGCATTACGTACATAATGTATTTATCACAGTTCTTGTTTTCTATTTGTTCTGTGTGTTTAAGGTATAAAAAATGTCAGTTTTTCTTATCCTGACTTATTTTGTGTTTCCACAGTGGCGATGTACAGAGAGCCATCTCTCCATGACTTGACAGAGTTCTCCCGCTCTGGCAGCGGCACGCCCACCAAGAGTCGGAGTGCCTCAGCCGTCCTCAACGGAGGCAAAGCCGTGAGCCAGAATGAGTCGACGTAGCCCGGTAGCCAAACCCAGGCCTGGGGCCGAACCACGAAACCTTACCTCTAGCAGAGCGTGAATCCAAGCAGACTTGTTTCTCCGATCAGCGGTTCAGGACTAGCGACGACAACAAACCACACATAAAACGCCCAGACACCACCAATAAAAACAGCTAGGTACCATCCTGGTCAATCATCATCAAAAAAAAAGCATCAATAGTAAGAAACGTAACAGCACATAGATCATTCTGGATTTTTAAAAAACGAATGAAAAATTTTGTTTTTGGGCTTGAGATTTATTTGTTACCTTGGTCACTCTCTTTTGGTGATGATCGCATACCAGTTAGCTCATCTTTATCTCATTTTGTTCTTACTTAATTTCCTGTGGACTAACTTTTCTTAGGTCATGCAAACACCAAGCAGTCGTGCATCTGTCAGACAGGGACGGGAAGGTAGACATGCAGGTGTTCAGGGCAGCCAGTCATGGTGCTGGTCTACAAGGCTGCAGTGGTACAGTACAAGCCCTGATCTCTGTCTCATCCATGCTTCTGTGAATACAAAGCCTATAAACTCCCTGGTGTGGCACAGCCTAGTGCTGCTGGGACTGTGGCCAGCCAGATGGTAGCTCTCCTGCGTCCTAGTGCACACGCTCAGAGACTGAGCTCTCTAGCATGGGAAAATGAAGCCTATGTTCAACTGACCTGAAATATAAAAGGGACAGTGTGGCTCTCTTGCAGTTTTTTTTTTTTTTTTTTTTTTTTCATTTTAGAGATGCCACAGCTGCACCTTGTTTTTTTTGCTAATTTTCTGAATTAGCTGAGCGCTTTTTATTTGATAACCGGTTTTGTTTTTTTTGTCCCCTCTTGTTCTCTTCCCTTGCCATTGTTCAGTATTTGTATTTTTGTTTATTATAGAAAAGGGTTCCAGCAAACCAAAGACAGAGCGTAAGAGTGTCCCTTTAAGCCGCTGAAAACCAAGCCAGTATAAAAGGCAAAGCTGGAGTTTTTTTTTTTCATTGTACATTTTTGATGAAAGAAAGCAAAGATTTTGTGGGGGGAAAAAAAGAACAATGGACAAAGGAAGTGATTTTAAACACTTTGGAGTTGGCAGCGTGCTTCATGTTGTGCTTTTTGCTGATATGCTCGATGACCGAGGTATGAAACGATTATTCTGTGTCCCCATTCCCTTCTGTTACCACTGTGTCACAATGTCTCTAGCTCTTGTCCTCGTGATCTGTTTCCTCCCTCCGTGCTTGTGTCATACTTCGACTCCCCCAGCCAACCCTATTTTGTCGACTTCTATTGACCGATACAGTTCACCATAGGAATATGGTGGGAGCCCCTTTCCCAGGATGCTTGTTATGTGTTTGAGTAACTTATTGTGGTGACAATATTTTCTAAATTTAAAAAAAAAAAAAAAAAAGAATACTGTGGACTTTTAGGTGGCTTAACATTTTATAGGACACGTCATATTTGTAAAAGTGAAAAAAAAAAAAGAGACAAAAACATACAAAAATGAACATCTTCCCTTTCTTGCACAGGGCATGTACAAACACAAATATGTACAAAAAGGACCCTTTTTGTGGGCTATGTACTCTTCCCTTCAGCTACATAACTTCTTTCTGGTACATGCTTCTGGGAAACTTTATTTTCTTGGTTTCCCCTGGAGGTGGTTTGTATAAGGTGAACCTATCTGTTGCATGGGAGAAAGCAGGGAAATTCTGGTCTAGGGCTGCATGATGTAGGCTATGTGTATTAACCCATGTTGGATCATGTGTTCCAAACTACCAGGCTAAATCTGATATAAAAAAACAACATACACAGACGGACATTGTGGCTGTCTGATAACTTCCAGTTGTTTATTATTTGTTGTATACACAAAAATGCACTGAATAAAATGTTTATATTAAGATATACTTTTAAAATGTGTCAGACTTTCTTCTTTGTCCGATCACTTGCCTCACGAATCATTGCAGGTAAAGAGAACACTGGGCAGAATTGAATTTCAGCTGGCACAATCAGCAGCAATCGGTGGTGCAGAAGGGCCTTCGCCATTAAGGCCCTCCTGAACACACGCTCAGTTTTTCTATCTGTGGATACCAATGTGTCACGTAGAGGTGGGATATGCCTTTAATTGCCTCAGAGTTGCAGCTGGTGTACAGGCTTAGGGCTCATTCTATGTAATAGATCAATATCTCTTTTGGACATGATAGAAGACTTGATACCTGGAAATTGCTCGGCTGCTGTGGATTTTTCTCTGCGTCTGAATAAGCGCTGCCCTGACTGTGTAATCTCGCTAAGTAAGTAAGATTGCTTTTACCTTCTTCCCAAAGGCTAAACATGAGATTGCCTTTAGTGCAAATGATTCAAATCTTTTCTTCTTAGAAAATAAATCACATCTGAGCAAAGGCACAAGACAGCTTTGGGTTTCATCTTAGTTGGTGGAACTGCAGACTTTACCAGGTCAAGTTTTTACATAATTAAGCAAGAACAAAAAAAAAAAAAAACGAACAACAATCCTTTTTGATGAATACAATTAGAACCCTTAAGTGCTATAAGGTCTTCATATGTGGAGAGAGGCCGTGACCCAAGGTGATGATTACATGGTGAGTCCGTTACCGCTGAGACAAGCCGGGAAAGAATAATCTGAGTGATGGCATGACACTGTGTTAACCTGCCGAGCTTTGTTAATAAGGTCAGCCGTCTCCCTCGCTCTCTCTGTCATCTTGGGAAGAAGCACTTTCTTTAATGAGGGGTTACGTCCATAATCACTCCGCTCTGATTGTCAGCTACAATAGATGTCAGAAATCATGTGTCAAAGTGTGATGCAAAGAACAAGCAGTAAGGAAAAATTCAAACTGACAATAAACACTATTGTAGAGAGGAAGTAGCAGCGGAGTGGATAATGCAAGAACATTTAGGGTTTCCTAAATTAAGTTTATGATATTGTGGAGCTGTTTCTAAATGAGCTACAGTGTGCGTATTTTACATATTAAAGCCACTTGTCACCTGGTGCGGCTCAGCGATGTGCTTTTGGACAACAATGGAGTTTTTTAAACACAAAATCAGATCTGATCATACTTTGCGCTGCAGATGTGAAATTGCAATGCTATGAATTTTAAAAACAAGTCATAATGCTATAATTAACACAAATGAAAACATTACAATAGAAGCACGTATTATAATACCAGCCTGCAGCTCACGATCGTTTGTTGAATGACATCAACAGTGCAAAAGCCTGCAGTTATAATTTTGATGTTCTCTCCAGAGTGCCACTGATGTGCGGTTACAGCCGAGACCTTTAACCACCAATAAAAAATAAAAGAAAACTACAAAAAGACATGTTAAATTTCTGATTCATTCCAATAGGCATTTTTTTTCTGAATTTAACAAATAGCATACACATGCAGATGCCAGTATAATGTATAGATTTTCTTCTTAATCCTTAGATTGACCTAAAGATCTAAGTCTGACTCATGTCATTTTACACAAGCGAAAGATACTTCTACTGGTTATTACAGCCTCTTGTTCAGCTTTACAGGAAGCTTGCTCCTCATCCTTGGAGTGCGAGTGTGAGTAGGCATCAATCTGGCCCCTGGAGACTACCTCATTACGCCCATCGCCAGCAGAGACAGGAGGACTAATAGGCCTCTGTAATATAAGCCCTGATATGAGCTACTTCATCGTTCATGTAGTTTGACATCCCCCTACTCCCTTCATTTCCTTTTGCCCATCACTAGACTCCATTCATTAGCATGGGACAGTCCAATTCATTAACGGAGGCTGCCAGCCTTGTTCAGAGATGGTGATGTGAAGACAAGCCGCCTTCCCTCTGTGGTATCTCTTTCTCCTTTTCCCTTCTTTCCCTCACTTACTGACCAATCAGTTATTCTGCCCTTCACTTGACCAGACTAATGAGTCTTCATGGAGCCCTTAAAAATAAGGGCAAATGCAAACCCAGGGTGTGTCTCATACACACATATATATATACACACACAGCCAAACATATAAACCATAAACACAAGTCAAGCAAAGCCATTGTTGCTCAAGCGTGCAAGGATTGGAGATTTTTTGAGTGAGATCATGCTGAAATATTCTGTCACGAATCCGACAGAGCTGATGGAGCTGTGATATATGTGAGCACTGTGTACCTGTGAATGCTATAACTCATTGCCCTTTATCACTGCCAGCACAGGCTGACTGGCTTCCTTTCTCTCTCTCTCTTACTCAGTCTCCCTTCCTGTCTGCCTTTGTCATCTCCTTCACAATTGCACTGTTCCGCTGTTTTAATTTTCAGTGCGACATTCTTCACCCGTACAGAAGATGACATGAATGCCGCTATAATTTGCTTCTTATAGAAAACTGAATGGCAAGTGTCACAACATGATCTTTTTTTTTCTTTTTGAAGCCACTTGTTAAAACTCTATCAAAAGTCCAATTCAACTTCCTGTATTGATTCCTCAATTATCAATCAGGATTAGAAGTTTCCCTCCTTGTAGCTCCTTCCTTTTCTGACTGTGTTGTCACGGGAGGTATGTTATACAGAAAACAATTTTCCACCTGCCAGTCAAGAAGTCAATGCATGAAATTACTCTAATTATGAAACCGGCTGGAACGATTTGCTCCCTGAAAATTGCACACAATTTAATGTACAGCAAACTGAGTTAAGTGCAGCTTCCCAGAAATATTGACGTTTTTACAACCTTCGGAAGAAGACCAAGACAACTGAATTTAATTGACCAGCTGGCGCAGAAACCTCCCACGAGGGGCAGCTGCATCTCTCATTTACTTCTCCTTTTCTGCTCTTTCTCAATCTCCTTCCTTATCCACTTGTTGTGGACAATTTAGGAACACATTGACAAGTTATTTGCAAATAAAAGGGAGAAACAGAAATTATACATCATCAAGAAGGGGTCTATTAAAATATAAAGTTTTGTTATAGTTTTTCACAGGTCCCAACCTCTGAAAACAGGCTTCACGAAAACAAACCAACGATAGAAATTGAAGCTAACAGACTCTAAATAATGCTAAGCTATATAGCCCTAAACCCTGGAGATATACCAAGACTAAACAGGATGAAGTGGGCACAAAAAAATGTGATAGAGGAAGAAGAAATAGGATAGAAAGGCTTAACAGTGAGATAATAAACCAGTCAGCTAGTGTTAGGAAACAAAGTTGTGCATAAAACCTCCTGGGGAGAAAACAGCAAAAATGAGTGACACTTGACTTTAGTTATTGTGTAAAAAACAGTGCACAGACCTGCATACATGCCTGGGCTTTCGCAGGGAAAACAAAGCAAACACAGAAAATAAGTCTTTGCAGGTGGCAGCAGTCAGAGACACAAGCTGACTAACATTCTGCAGGCCCTCGGCTCATACAAGAGAAAACTGTCAGGTCGAGAAATTGATGAAATTGAAAGAAATGCACTGCTGCTAACCCTGAATGGCCTCTCAGTCCCTCAGCACCCCGGTGCCCTCTGAGAGCAGAGATTCCAAATAGAGTTGGCGGCTATTTGTCCCTGTAACAACCTCTCTTCCATCACCACCCCCCGTGTGCCCCTCGGTTGGCACAGAAAAAGCAGCGGCTTCGTTCTCAGCAGATTACCCTGTGCAGAAAGTGTCTCACACTTCTGCTTATCAGTGTTACCAGCACATCAGAGCACCAGAGACGGACAGAAAAGACGGGCACGACATGCTGCTCAGAGAGTGCACACATTGATAACATCCACCGCAAATAGCATCAGACATCACGGCTTCCACCATCAAAAGATCCAGTACAGCTGGAGGGTAACCTTCTGCTTGTTCTTCAGGTTTTAGTTTGATTTAATATGGATTTTTTTTTTTACAAGAGGTAGGAGCTCAACACCATTTGTCTTTACTGAGAAAGAAACCTAAAAGAGGAAGATCGGAACACTGTATTTGCAAAACCTTTTTGTTGTTGTTGTTATTGTTCATGCACTGAACTCCAGCCTGAACACTGAATATGAAATGAAACAATGACTGTAAGGTTCAAGTTCTGACTTCAAGCATTAATTTTAGAGTATTTACATTTTATCCACATCAGATAAACAACATAGCTCTTTTAAAACATGCTCCCCCCAATGTAGCGCATAGACATCAGTAGACATTTGGGATCTTCCTTCCTTCTTAAATGTTTTGACCACATTTTCGTGTTCAGAAACTGAAATCCATGCTCAGGTGAACCAACTGACCTATTCAATTAAGAATATTCCCCACTTTGGCAATAAGAAATTCATTGCATGCCTCATTTGTAAATTTGGGGTAAGTGGCAAGCTACATGTGGGGCTCTGTATTTAAAGGGCTATAAGTCCTACAAAGACCACTGCAGTGAAGACTCCGATACTTTCTCAAAGTCAGCATGTGGCCCAGAGGTGTAGGACTCTTAGGACTGGTTGATACACAGCTGGTAACTTTTGTTGCACGTCAGTTTGCATTTGATGCTCCAGATTAGGAAATAGATGCACTGAAGTTATTACATGTCTGTCCAAAATTTGGGGGCAATTAACAGTTGTCAGCACATTTAATGTCACCCATTTCCTGTGTAATCAGTTCATTAAATGGCCATGATCATATCTGATATCAGCCTGAGTTTGGTTAAGTTTAGGCATCAAAACTGCTTGGTTTGGTTTAGAAAAAAAGGATCATGATATGGGTTAAAATAACATATCACTGTCATCATACTGTATGACTAAAAATTTGTAGGCACTTTAGATTTTTATCCATCCTTCAGTACCATCAGGGAGGCATCTGATTGTCTTGAGTCAGGCTGACTAAATGAATAGGCAGAAGCAACTAAATTAACAGAAAAACTGTGGTAAGTTTTTCAAGGTGCTTGAAGCCCATCTGCTAAATATCTTGAAAAACTGGGTAGAAGTATATCTACAAGAACCAGTGCTAAGCAGCTT